TTGCTGCGAGCTGAGGCCGAGGCACTGCTTGTGGAAACGTCTGCCGCATGGAGAGCAGCGCACCTCGAGGTCGTCCTCGCCGCGGCAGATTGAGCACCACGCAGCCGGCATGGCTGGAGCGGTGAGTCCACGAGCGTGACAACAGGTAGGCCAGGACGGGGGAGAGAAATGCGCCGCCCAGCCAGCAACAAGGGCAAACTGTTGGCAAATCGAGAAACGTCACGCGTCTCGTTTGCTCGGTTTGGGCTTTGGGGGGAGGGCGCCCGGCGCGGTTTCTGCGCAGTAAGCACGCCGACGTTCACACCTCAGCGAGGGTGTAGGTGATGGTCGCGGGTCGGGAAAACTCGGGATGGCCGCCGGGGCTGGAGGGCGAGGCCGGCCCGGGGGGGGGGGGCGTCGGGGTGGATATGGGCGACGGACAAGAAGGGCTGACGAGAGTGGCACGGTGCACGGGCTTTCCTTTTGAGCTCTCCGATTGCATATAGCTCAGCTAACATAATGAGATATGAGTAAAGAAACCCAAGCATGCTCGATGCTCGAGGGCACGCAGAGGCACAAGGAGATGCTTGTCTTCCACACGGGCCCCATCGACTAGTCGACCGCCACCATCCGCCTCCGGACAAACTTCGGACCCCCACGACGCGCCCAGGCCACGACGCTCACTCCACCGCTCCGGCTTGCACTTGGACCCCGGAAGGAGACCAGCCCGAGCCCGTCCGCTCGCCTCGCCCGGTGCGCAGCGCTCTCGCTTTTGCTCGCGCCGCAACCTCGCTCCCAGCGCCCGCCGCCTCCGCCTCCGCCGCGGCACTGCTGCGCGCGGCTCGCCGCTTCGCCTCGTGCGTCAGCCAGCCGATCGAGGGACGCCTTGGTCTCGGCATACTCGATGGGGTTGGGGAGTGAGACGCGGCGCAGCTGGGTGAGGGCGGTGTCCACCGGCACCGCCGAGACACGCTTCTTGTCTGCCAGCAGGAACTCTTGCAGCCCTCGCAGTGTCTTATCCGCCCAGCAACTTGAGAGTGGTCCGCGTGTATACTCTCTCGCGCTGCACAGCCTGACGATGTAGACAGACTGCGTACCGTAGTCGGCCAGGCGGCACGGCGGCAGATCGCGACTATACTTTTCACACAAAAACACAACCCCGGACCCACGCTTTGTCAATCTCTTCGGACCTTTGATGTGAGTCAGGTCGGAGTCCATCGGCGGAGTCGTTGACATTGTGGTCGACGGGGTGCGAACCGATAGCGCAGTGGCGTTGTGTCGGCGAGCGAGCCGCAAGCGCGCGCGAGAGAGAAATCCCTGGATGGATTGGTCGACATTGTGGTCGAGGGTATGCGAACCAATTGCGTAGCGGCGTGTCGGCGAGAACCCGTCCGGGTCCAAAATCCCCCCCTTCAATGTAGTCGCGAAGTTCTGGAGGAGATCGACTGGTCGCAGCTGCGGGTGACTGGCTGACTGATCGCCTTCTGGACTCTTCATGCAAGTTACATTGGAGCCCATCTGCGGAGCGTTGGAAGTGGCCGAGGTGTCTGACCGGGGTAGGTCGGTGGCGTAGCTTCGGCACCCGGTGTGGCCGTATGGTAGGCTGGCGTCGTTGCCCTTGGTGGCGCGCGAGTTGGCGGAACGGAACAAAAGGGGCATGACGTGGGTGGCCATACGTGGGCCGTAACTGGAGGTGGAGCACGGCAAAGTGATGCACGGCTGATGGAAGCGGGGCCGAGCATCGAGTGCGGTTGGAATTTGGCGAGAGAATGGATTGCTGAGCCCTGGTGTCGAGGTGTCGAGGCCCGGTGTCGAGGGTGTCGAGCTGCTGTCGAGGGATAGAGGTGTCGAGGCCTGTCGAGGCCTGTCGAGGCCTGTCGAGGCCTGTCGAGGCTGGGACCAAGCTTGTCCGTGTCGAGGGGTGTCGTGAAGCGCGCCAACCACTCCGCCATCATTTGCGGGGTGATGTTCTTTCCCTCGAGCTTTGGGATGTCCGCGTCGTACGTGCGCGTGACCTTGGCTGAGAGTGAGCCCCGTGTGGCTCCACCCTCATTAGAGAGGGCATTGCGCAGGGCCGTTGCGAAATCGGTCATCGCCTCTTCATGGCCCGTGCGACTGGCGGTGGCGAAGGCAGCAATCATCGCCTCCCTTTCAGCTCGGGCGGCGGCAGCGCTAGCCTCTCGGTCAATGCGGGTAGCCGCCGCATTGGCGGCTGCGATGGCTGCAGCGATCTGATTAATGTCGATTTGCGACGGCAGTTGCGCCGGGTTTGCATCCTGCGGTGGCGCCTGCGTCGGTGGTGCCCCTTGCGGCTGCGGTGGCTCTTGCGCCTGCGGTGCCTCTTGCGGCTGTGGGGGCTCTTGCGCCTGGGGTGCCTCTTGCGGCTGTGACTCTCGGTCTCGATCCTGGGTTGGCGGCTGGTCCCGATCCAGTGTTGGCAGTTGTTGCGCCTGTGATGGCCCTTGCGCCTGAAGTGGCTCTTGCGCCGGTGGTGGCTCTTGCGCCTGCGGTTGTGGCTCTTGCGCCAGGTGCGGCTCTTGCGCCTGTTGTGGCTCTTGCGCCTGTTGTGGCTCTTGCGGCATGT